TGTATTTATAACTAAAAAAAAAATTTTATTTAAGGTTGTGAGCAAAGAATAGCTTTGTAGAGTTATTAACATGTTGACGAATTTTTGTATATAAATATTTTTTTTGATTACTTGATAATAGTAAAGGAGGAATAGTATTTAATTAATCATTTTTATTAAAATTATTACTATGTAATAATTGAAAGGAAATTTCTTCACAACCTGATTTTTTTTAGACATAAACTTTTCTGACTTCTGAACTATTAAATCAAAAATTATAGTATTGTTTTATATTTGGTAAAGATTTGAAGTTATTTTTAAAAAAAGAACTAAAATCATGCCAAATCTATTCTGTACTACTTTTATATTGAATTGCATTATTTTTTTTTGATGAATTATTTACAATAGTTTCTATATCATCAATAGTATTAATGCGATTATCTCTATAAACTTTCTTAATTTGCCCATAAAATGAATCGCAAATGAATTTTGTGTATCTGGGAATCATAAAATTAATGATAACTTCTTCATACCAACCTAATGAACATAGCCACAACCAAAACCAAAGTGATAAATTATTTTTATTTTAACTACTACAGTTATTACAAGTTACTCTGAATTTTTTTGCTTTTCTGGTTTGAAGGAAGTAATTAACCATATTCAACGTAGTATTAGCACCTTTCAAGACTTCTTCAGGAAGTTTGTTTCACCAATTAAAAAATTCAATTGATAATTTTGTTCTCCCGTTTTGCAAACACCAAAAATATTTACAGAAAAAGGAGATTTAAAATGAAGTGAACCAACTTATTGTGGTGAATATGGTATATGAACACTTTGCACCCAATCATAACAAATATATGCAACATCTAGATTATTTTTACTCTTTTCAATATTGTTATTATAATGTTGTCTTTCAAGATCTGCAGCCTCTTTATGTTTGTTATATTCGATTTAAACTTCATTATATTCATCAATATTCTGTTTGGTGACTAACAATTTAGCTTTAAAAAAGGTGCAAACCTCACAAAGATCACTTGTGTGTGGCTGAAATCAAAGATTAGGAACCATCTCGAGCCATAATTTTCTAAATATAAAATAAGAGATAATTTTTTCTGATTCATTATGGTTAGATAAAAATTTTTTTTATATTTGTTATAAACTGAATTGTAGGTTTGGCCAGTAGGAAGATAAATAAAAACCCCAGAATCATCTTGATACCGTAATGGAGAAGGAAACTTGTGAATCATTCCATATTGCACTAGAAATTGTTTAATTGGTAATGTTATGTTAAGGTCTAAAAAAACTCTTGACTCAGTTTTAGATGTACATCCAAAATTTCTATAAACACGTTTGGTTAAACTATTTGATTGTAAAAGATTTTGTAATGCAAAAAGTAAATAATCATTAATTCCACATAATTTTAAATATGCAGACCTACAAAGAAGTAAAGAATGATTATAATTATATCTATATGTATGTTTTTGTGTTTTATTTTTTTCTTTTTCATCACTAATTTCAAATGATGTTAATTGCAATTTTACAAAAAGTTCAAGCTCATGTTCTTTTAAAGCTTTTAATTCAAAATGTCTCTCAAAAAAATGTTTAAACCCTATTTTTTCAAAACAAGTTCTAATGTCTTTCTGTTTTTGACAGCAAGTACAATTACTAGAATTTTGAAAAAATGATTTTAAATTATGAATCGTATCCAAAACTAATTCATTTTCTTCATAATCTTCTAATTCTAATTTGACTAAGTTATAGACAGGTCTGAAATCATCATGGTTAGTTGTTGTGACATTTTTTTTAAAAAAAAATTGGTATAGTACAATAAATTTTTAGAAATTGAATAGTCAAATCTTTTTAAAAATACAAGTTAGTCAAATGCTAATTGATATTCAACTAAGTTAACATGATAGATTGCACAAAAATTGACAAAAATACTTGTGTACATATGTTTATACATAAAATAGTCAATACTATCATCACATATAAATACAGATATAATAACACTTTATCAAGAATCAGGTTAAAATATAGAGATTATTGAAGAAATTACAGTTTGTTCAAACCACATTCATATTACTTCAATACATGCTTTGTGCTATAGCTAAATTAGACATACAATAGAACTAATTTAGGCTGTTCTCAAAGCCACTCATTAATTCATGTTTGTATTTGCTTTTAAGTTGCAATTTTTCTCATAGAATATGCT